TCTCCAGCAGAACTTAGCTAGAAGGGATGTTTAAAATTGCTCTCACCGTATATATTCATTATTAAATTTGACAGTTAAAGCACCAACTTTATGGAGATCTAAAAATACGTATAACAGACTTGACCCTACTACGTGTGTTGTTTTGTCCTTACATTTAGCAAATACTAATTAAGCACCTACTATCTGCCGATTCCAGGCCACGGGACTATAACAGTGATCAAAAAATAGACCCAAATCTGTGGAGCTTACATTCTGGTAGAGGAGACAACTAACAAGTGACATACAGACTATATGAGATGAAGAAAATAAAAGAGAGTGAGGGATTGCAAGCATACTCAGAGGGAGATGTTGCAGTTTTAAAGGTTGATTAGGAAGTGACTCACTGAGAAGGTGACATCTGAGTAAAGACCTGAAGGAGAGAAGAGAGCAGACTTATTGGGGGAAAGATTATTCCAGGCAGGTGCACCAGCAGACTCAACATCCCCAAGGCAAGAGCACCCGTGATGTGTGTAAGAACCAGCAAAGGAGTCAGCATCTAAAAAGACGAGAGAAAGGGCGAGAGTAAACTAGGTGATCTCAGAGAGGTCAGGGTTCCTGGTGATGCAGGACCTTGTGGGTCCTTGTAAGGATTTGGGGGTTGACACTGAGCAACATAGGGGGCCACTGGAGGGTTGGAGATGAGGTATAGCATGATCTGACTTAGGGTTTAAGGATCACTCCACTGTGTTGAGAATAGATGTTAGGACCAAGGGGAAAAGTAAAGATATAGACAGAAAGTTGTTGCAGTAATCCAGGAGAGAAATGATGGTGATCTGCTCGGGGAAGGGAGTGGTGCTGAGGGGACAGGAAGTGGTTAGATTCTGATATGCTGCTCTGACATCACATCAGCAAAGGGGAGAGGAAGAGAGTAGTCAAGGCCAAGCCTGAGGTTTCTGTCTAAGTTACTAGAAGGATGGAGTAGGCCTTAACCGAGACGGGTAAGGTGGGGGGAGGGACAGCTTTGGAGGGCAGTTCGGGGGATCGTTATCAGACAACCCAGTGGAGTTGCAAGGAGGCAGTCGGATTAATGAGTCTGAAGTTCAAGGACGGGGTCTAGACGGGAGATAAATTTAGGAGTCATCCGCATGAGACTGGATGAGCTCACCAAGAAAGTGCATATGGATGGGAAATAGAAAAAAGAAGAGGTCCAAGGACAGAGCTACCCAGGAAGAACAGACCTAAACCCCAAGGAAGCTGTGGGGGAATGGGAGGAGATGGGACAAAAACTAAGAAAGTGCCCTGTCTGGAGAAAGCAGGCAAGGAGGAGGGAGAAACCGATGGGGTCAAATGCTGCTGCTGAGTCAAGTTAAGTCAAGTGCTAAAACCTCACCAGTCCATCTAACAAAGTAAAAGTAACTGATACCTCGGAAAGACAGCAGTTCTGACATTGGAGGTCAGTGTGAATTAGAGTGGACTCAGTAGAGATGAAGAGGACAGGAACTGGAGAGAATGTACAAACAAGTATTCCAAGGTGTCTTTTAAGGTGAGCAAAGGAACGTGGGGGTGACTAAAGGCAGAAATGAGTGGGGAGGGATTTTCTTTTAAGTTGTGTAAAGTAACCACGTGTCTGTATGCTGGTGGAAATGATTCTGTGTAGTGGGAAATTCATGATGTAAGAGAGGAGAATCCCTGGGGCTTGCCCTTGAATAAGAGAACAGGATTGGGATGCAGACTACAAGTGAGAGGTGGCATGTAGGAGCAGAGAGCTGCCCTAGTAACAGGAGGGAGGGTGCAGAACAGGGGTGGTAGGTGGGTAGTGGGAGCTTTGGGAGATGTCTGGTGATGGTCAGTTTTCTCCGTGACATGGAAATCTTGGTCATTGGCCGAAAGTGAGGATAGCAGGGGAGGTAGTGTTTAGGCAGAGAGGAGAAGGTGTGAAATAGCTGTCTAGGAGTGTGGGACAGTGAACAGACGTTGGAAATACCGTACCATCTTTTGGCAGAATTTAGGGCCCACTTGAGTTCTGTCATCATGAATGTAAGATTACACCATGCAACATGGCTTTGCACAGCCACGTTTTACTGCAAGGATGCGAAGGTAGAGCAGACAATGCGGATCAAGGAGGACACTTACTGAATCCCCAGTCCTCGTGGTACGTTGGGTGTGGGAAATCAGACATCCCCACTTGAGAGGACTCTAGAAGAAACAGCAGCATCATGAAAGAGCTAGGATTTAGTTAGAGAAAAGCGAAGAAAACAATCTGAACAGAGGTTGAAATTTTGGAAGATGTTGGTGCCGTGTTCCAAGGTAGTGAGGAAGGGTTTCAAAAGTTTTGGAGGGTGGGTGATGGAGATGTGCTGAGCAAGATGGTGATTCTAGCGCAGGAGGTGAGTGATGACCTGTGGTCCAGACCTGAGTTTCTCCTGGAGAGCAGGTCTCAAAACAGGACTTGGTGACAAGACTGGGAGTTCTGGGGCATAGGGAACTGGGAGGGGGGCATCTTGCTAAAAGCCCGAGTCCTTGGGTCCTTTCTTCATTCCTACAGCTCTTTTCTCTCTGTAGATGTCATTGTTTCTTCAAACAAAGACATACAGGCAAGCCCAGTGTAGAGAATAAATCGAAGCAGAGTTTCCCTGGGTGAAAGCCAGAATTAGGGGAGGAGGGCCATGTCCCTCACAGGGTTCAGGGTTACTGCCTCAGCATTTCTAGGGGTCCTCGTATCTCAGGTCATAATCACTGCTCCGATGTTGATGAGAGACACCTGAGGAAAATAACAGAATCATGTATGAGAAAGTAGAGATCATATATACCCAGTAATCACACAAGTCTTTTTAAATGTTTTGCCAGCAGTGCAGAATCCTTTTTTCTTCCACATAATAAACTTTTCAAATAAACAGGTGGTTTGCAGTATCCCTTGGGATCTCTTTGTGTCATTTACGATCAGTATAGCATTACTGTTGTTAACTATTATGTACATAGAAGAAACCATAGTTTCGAACAGTCCTGACTTAGATCAAGTTCTCCAGAAGTAAACCACGAGGCAGAGGTTTGAATGCAAATGGTTTGTTATAGAAGTGCTCCCAGGAGAGTCCTGTAAGTGGGTGGAGCAAGCAGGAGAGAAAAAAAGGAGCCCAGAAAGTATACATTTAGAAGATGTCTCAAGGAGGTAGCTCTGGAGAGCGACAACTCAGGTTCCAACCTGATTGGACACAGGGCTTGTTTCCATACCTGTGAGGTCACAGCAAAGGAGAAAGTGGTGGACGGGGGAGCTGTGAACCCCTAGGTACTTCGAAGCAAAACATCTAGGAGCCTGAGGGCCATCCTTCAAAGCAAAGTAGAAGGTATGGGTCCTTGAAAGAAAATTGCGCATGCCCACGCGTGTGCCCCCCACCCCCCCCACACACACGGGATCTAAGAACAAATCAGGGGAGCCACAGGACTTTCTGTAAGTGGAAAGCTTTCTTTCGAACAGCAAAGATAATCTGTGTAAAGATTAGCTTCAGAAGATATTAATGTCAGCTTTCAATTATCATCAGGCAGTTTTCTAATAGTCTGAATCTTGCTCCCTTTCCTCTTGCACTTGTAGCAAGATCATATTACCGCACATGTAGGGCCGAAGTTTGAGAAAATCCAGGTCAAGTGAGTGTGCATCTCTCATCCAATATATCCAAGCACAGGACTGAATGTGCTGTCTTTATTGAAAACAAAATGCATGTTTTAAAACTCCACTATTTTAGATGGATTTCATGCTTTCTCACTTCCATTAGTGTAAATATCAACACTGTTTAGCTATTTCAAAATTTACGTCTTTACAAATAGTTACTCTTATCTACATCCTCATATGTTTATTTTAAGATGATTGTATTTTATTTTTCCCTTTAAATTTTGTCCTCTCTTCTAAGGATTGGGGAATCATTGTTTTAGAGTCCCTGTGTTAGATGTAATTTAGAGCTGTGTAACATCCAGCCCACTGACAGATTTAGCGATTAATTTCCAGACCTCTTGTGGTGCAAGGGAAGCTCCTTAAGATTTTGAAAATGGCAATACTATTGACTCCCTACCACTAAAGGTTACTTGTATGGGTATCCACACTAATGTAAAAGGAAAGTTTAAGTGTGGTAAATATCCATGTTGTTTTGCTTTATGGAAAAACCTGTGCATAGGGGAAAAAGGCAATTTATGGAACAAGTAATAGTTTATCCTTCATAAGGACATCTTATACAGATATTGCCCTCCTTGCATTCTGTAAGGCTAACATTGCTGTTGCTAAACTGATATTGGCACAGGAAAAATAGTTCAGTAGTTTTGAACAGTCATGTCTTAGGTCAGGTTCTCCAGAAGCGAACCGTAAGCCAAAGATTTGATGCTAGAGATAGACAGAAAGAGAAATTTGACTATGACTTACATGCTATTTAGATTATATTGAGAGTTAGTAGAAAAGCTTTTTTTTTTCCTCCCAAGATTTTGGCTTAGATACGTCTCTAAATATGTGTTTGCTATATTTTAAAGTAAGTGCACTTTTAGGGGAATTTAATCCACATGTTACACATGAATCATCCAAATGTTTTATTAGAGCTGCACGATGTCTAAGATGCCTTTTGAGCTTTTTTAATAGTCCTTATATTCTCTGCTGAAAAGCAGCAGGTACGTTGCCAGGAGTAAACAAATCAAATAGCAAAAGGTTTGAGTTCAGTTTGAAATGCTTAGCCTATTATTTTTGATGGGGTTCTGAACTTGGCAATGCACATTCCCGATTCCTGCCTGGAGGGCAAAGTGAAAACAATTTGAACACTGTATTTCCCAGTCGGGTCATTGACATTTGAGAATAATGTAGTACAGACAGAATCAGCATGTTTGGCAGGTGAGTGATACTTAATGTGACCTCAGAAGGTTACTTTCTCCACTTTGCAGAAGTCCGTGGCGTGGAACAATGTCATCCACGCTGCAAAACAAAAGTTAGGACAGACAGCCATCAGGGGATCCATACTGGGAGTTTATCTGTTTCTCTCGTGCATCTTTAGGTGGAATGGTTGAAAAATGAAGACGTCATTGATCCTGTCGAAGATCGGAATTTTTATATTACTATTGATCACAACCTCATCATCAAGCAGGCCCGCCTCTCGGATACTGCCAACTATACTTGTGTTGCCAAAAACATTGTCGCGAAGAGGAAAAGCACGACCGCAACTGTCATAGTCTATGGTGAGTGGGCCTTTGGGGTCTCAGTCTAGTTGAGGTCAAACTGCAGCTTCTCATTTTAATCTTAAAATACCAGGTGAAGAGGCCCCTTTTCAATCCCCATGGCGGCTCTCTTCCAGCGTCTCATGTGGACATTGAGGTTTAACAGCCTTCCTGATACTCATAGAAAAACTAGACTTAGAAATCCCTAGTCCTTTGTCAGTCAGTTTATAAGAGAATGAAGGAAATCTACCTAAGTACCAGGACGGTTCCCTGCTTCCCTAGGCCCTCCCGCTCTCCATAGCCTGGACTACAGAGATCTAGAGGGAATTCCGAGATGAAGATGCTTCAGGCAGTCTGTGGGCCTCAGGAGAGTGATTGCAAAACCTCAGGTAAACTGGAGCTGACACGCTCTCCGAACACATCGGAGCAACTTGAACTCCCTAGAACGTGCTTTGCACTCCACCAGGGGCATCCAGAGTGAAGACAAGGGCTGCCTTTGCCAAGCAGCCCTAATCCTAACCCTGTAGCAGGTTTCGACATGATGACTTCTTCAGAAAGCTGCTCTTCCACTCTTTGGCCCTTTCTAATCTATCTCGTCTCTAAGCCTATCATTTCTGCAGAAGTACTAAATGATTCTGCCCCCAGTTTTGCTGCAGCACGTGATGCTTTTATCTGCCTGTCTGCTTCGGCACTCAGTGGTTTTCTCATCATTTCACTCGTAGTTCCATTGCCCCAGCTAAGCTTTTAAGCTCCTTGGTAGACTAAGAGAACAGCCCTGTAAATTTATGTATTTCTCACAGTGTTAGATACATAGTAGGTCTTCATATTCTTGATGAGTTATTGTCTCAGAGGAAACTGAATGACCCTGAGAAATATTTTGAGGTTCTGCCACCTCCGGAATGACATGGCTACCACTTAGAATGTAAGGAAGCTCTTCATGGCCGCTTCAGTGTTAAATGGCCCTCCAGGAGATTTGTCTAAATGACTACGAAGGAAGGACAGCCACGAGTATGTGGCTCATGGCCCTCGCTTACTGCAGGTAGTGCCATTTGGCTGGATGTGTCCTCACGCTATAGGGTGTTATGAGAACAGAAACCACTGTGATGTGTTCGAAAGGCTGAATGTAGTGATGCTTTAAAACCGTCATTTTCATTACAGGACAGATGCCTAATATTTTTTTAAAATCCTCTGAATACTCTGAAGTTAAATTTCCTTAAGTCACAATGAAACGTTTCCCACTTTGTCTTTTTCTAAACTCTCTGAACGACTTAATTAACAGCATTGGAAATGGAAAAGAGAAGTGGGGCACATCACAGCTTGTATCAGTCATAAATAACTAATGAAGGCAGACTCTAAATAGATGTGTTACATAGATGTTTAATATACATGCAGATCTCTTTTCCTATGTGTGGCATGCTTTCAGTATCCATAAGCACAAGCTGAACATTGTCTTTAGGGAAGAATCAAACACAACCAACTAAAGCATTTTGAGTTTAGAAAACAGCATGGGACTAGGGGTCAGGACTCTTATGTTCTAGGCCTAGTTCTATCACCAACTGACCTTCAGTTGGTCACTTAAACAGAATGCTCGGAGCCCGTATCTCCTTCTCTGTAAAATGAGGGAATAAGCCTAGGATCTTCAAGACCTGTCTTTTCTCTAAAAGTTTATGATATTGGCTTGCCAGTGTGTTGGTAAGCAGTTTATACTGACAATTCTATGACATTTTGAGTTTTGTGAAGTTAAGTGGATTAAATTGCTTTTTGGAATGCTAAATGCAACTCTACCTGTCAAACATCAGCTTGTCCTTTTCACGACCTCGTAAAATAAGTTGTCCAAGGCTCATAGGTTGGACTCACTAATAGTCCACAGAAAAACATATATATGTAACCAGTATTTCATTTTAGAGTCTGTTGTATATATTTAATTTTTTTAGCATCATTTTTAGTTTGCAAATATACATTATAGAAAATTTGGGAAACACAGAAAAACGTTCAAAGAAAAAAATACCTATAATCCTGTCATTTTGTCATCCAGAGGTAGCTTTAAAAAAGATTGATGTGTATACTACAGGAATTTTCTTAGCATAAATAGGATTTTAAAATAAGGCTTCTAAATATATTTTTTTACTTAAAGCATAATGTTGCAATATCCATGTATTATTAAATAGACTTCTACAGCATCATTTTTTTAAATTTATTTTTTAATTGAAGTATAATTAAATTACAATGTTGTGTTAATTACTGCTGTACAGCAAAGTGACTCAGTTATACATACATATATATAGATGCACACATTCTTTTCTGTTATGGTTTATCACAGGATATTGAATATAGTTCCCTGTTCTATACAGTAGGACCTTGTTGTTTATCCATTCTCTATATAATAGTTTGCATCTGCTAATCCCAAACTCCCAATCCCTCCTTCCCCCACTCCCCTCCCCCTTGACAACCGTAAGTCTCTTCTCTATATCCCTTATTTTGTTTCTGTTTCATAGATAGGTTCATTTGTGTCATGTTTTAGATTCTACCTGTAAGTAATATTGTATTTACCTTTCTCTTTCTGACTCACTTCACTTAGTATGATAATCTCTAGGTACATCCATGTTGCTGCACATGGCATTATTTTGTCCTTTTTTATGGCTAAGTAGTATTCTATTGTGTATATATACCACGTTTTTTTTTTTAAATAAGGCTGTGATGGCTAGCCCTTTTTTCCCCTTTATTTATTTTTTGGCTGCATCGGGTCTTAGGTGCGGCATACGGGATCTTTTTTGAGGCATGCGGGATCTTTTGTTGCGGCGCGCAGGCCTCTCTCTAGTTGTGGCATGTGGGTTTTTCTCTCTCTAGTTGTGTGCGGGCTCCAGAGCATGTGCGCTCTGTAGTTTGCAGCACGTGGGCTCTCTCGTTGAGGTGCACAAGCTCAGTAGTTGTAGCACACAGGCTTATCTGTCCCACGGCGTGTGAGGTCTTAATTCCCCCACGAGGGATCGAACCCACGTCCCCTGCATTGGAAGGAGGATTCTTTACCACTGGACAACAAGGGAAGTCCCTGTACATCTTCTTTATCCATTCACCTGTCGATTGACATTTAGGTTGTTGACGTGTCTTGGCTATTGTGAATAGGGCTGCTACGAACGTAGGGTGCATGTATACTGAGTCATTTCCAATAGCTGCCTGGGAGTCAATCTCACGAACATACATGTTTACCATGTTCCTATTATTGAACATCACAATTGATTTCAGTTTATCTTTATATAAAAAATAACTCTCCAGTGAAAAATAGTCTATGTCTGTATGTATAACACATTCATGATTATTGTCTATTGCATAAGTTTCTAGAGAAGGAGATGATGGGCATATGACGTTCACATGTAAGGTTTGTGTTATCTGAGTAACACTATTCTTTACCATCAGGAAGCAGATACATATACTAGTTGTGCCATGTTTTAACCACCAGCAAATAATTTTTGTTAGAAATTGCTTAATTAAAATGATTTCACAGACTCATATATTGAAATACAAAAGTATGGCAGAGTATTTTCATTGCGGTGCACGGGCTACTCTTCATTGCGGTGCACGGGCTTCTCATTGCTGTGGCTTCTCTTGTTGCAGAGCACCGGCCCTAGGCATGCAAGCTTCAGTAGTTGTGGCTCACGGACTCCAGAGCGCAGGTTCTGTAGTTGCGGCGCACGGGCTTAGTTGCTCCGCGGCATGTGGGATCTTCCTGGACCAGGGCTCGAACCCATGTCCCCTGCATTGGCAGGCGGATTCTTAACCACTGCACCACCAGGGAAGTCCGAGGGAGTAGGTTTTATCATCACACCTATACTGACAGCTCCACCAAACACCGTAAATACCCTTTATACACAAAATAGGTGTCCATTTCAGTTACATCAACTAATCGCTAATTCATTCAAATAGATACTCAGTTAGTTAAAAATCCAGCTATCAAGACTTCTTTAAAAACTAGATTCACTTATTAATGAAACTAACTAAAAGTCCTTAAAAGGTTATAAAGTTTACATATGCTAAAGAAAAATAATCAGTCATCTGTTATTAAGAAAAGGCTCAATGATTTTATCAGTTCCCATGCTTCATAGTCACTCACAGCCTTGGTATAAGGATGTAAACATAAATTATTTGAGATAAGTTGCCCAAAATAATTTTTGGAGCTTTACTAGGTAAGAGGATTTTTTTTAAAACAACACTGGCTAAGGAGAGGAGAACACAGTCCTATTTTCTGAATAGGTAAATAGATGTTGATAATTCATTTTATTTGTCTCTGTGCTTAGATTCTTCAGCTCTGCAATTTTATTTTATTTTATTTTTTTAACATCTTTATTGGAATATAATTGCTTTACAATGATGTGTTAGTTTCTGCTTTATAACAAAGTGAACCAGCTATACATATACCTATATCCCCGTATCTCCTCCGTCTTGCGTCTCCCTCCCACCCTCCCTATCCCACCCCTCTAGGTGGTCACAAAGCACTGAGCTGATCTCCCTGTGCTATGTGGCTGCTTCCCACTAGCTATCTATTTTACATTTGGTAGTGTATATATGTCCATGCCACTCTCTCACTTCGTCCCAGCTTACCCTTCCCCCTCCCCGTGTCCTCAAGTCCATTCTCTATGTCTGCATCTTTATTCCTGTCCTGCCCCTAGGTTCTTCAGAACCTTTTTTTTTTCTTTTTCAGATTCCATATATATGTGTTAGCATATGGTATTTGTTTTTCTCTTGCTGACTTACTTCACTCTGTATGACAGACTCTAGGTCCATCCACCTCACTACAAATAACTCAATTTCATTTCTTTTTATGCCTGAGTAATATTCCATTGGGTATACGTGTGAAATGATATCCAGGGTCTCTTATAGCTTTGAAGTTTTTGATTTTTTTATGGTCACTTGGGATACAACTTTTATGTGTTGTGTGTGGTTTGTGTGTCTCTGTGTGTATGCACATATGTTTAATTCACATTTTATTTTTTATCTCTTTCCAGTAAATGGTGGCTGGTCTACCTGGACAGAGTGGTCTGTGTGTAATAGCCGCTGTGGACGAGGGTATCAGAAGCGCACAAGGACCTGCACCAACCCAGCCCCACTCAATGGTGGTGCCTTCTGTGAAGGGCAGAGTGTGCAGAAAATAGCCTGCACCACGTTATGCCCAGGTAAGCAACCCAGCGCTCTCCTTCCAAATGTCTCCTCCCATTCTAGAAATGTTTTAGGGTATATATACAAATCTTTAGTCTTTTTTTTTTTTTTTGGCTGTGTTGGGTCTTCATTGCTGCTCACGGGCTTTTTCTAGTTGCAGTGAGCGGGGGCTACTCTTCCTTGCGGTGCACAGGCTTCTCATTGCGGTGGCTTCTCTTGTTGCAGAGCACAGGTTCTAGGCATGCGGACTTCAGTAGTTGCAGCACACGGGCTCAGTAGTTGTGGCTCACAGGCTCTAGAGCCCAGGCTCAGTAGTTGTGGTGCACAGGCTTAGTTGCTCCGCAGCATGTGGGATCTTCCCGGACCAGGGCTCGAACCTGTGTCCCCTGCCCTGGCAGGTGGATTCTTAACCACTGCGCCACCAGGGAAGTCCCACAAAGCCTTATTCTTCGCAGGAGTGTGTGGTAAACATTATTTAAATCCATCATCTCATTCAGTGCTTACATTGCTGGGACCTCAGGTCTTTTCCCCCAAAAGAGTACTTAACTTTATTACCCTAACATACAAAATAGTATAAAACAAGAGATTAAACACACATAAACATAATCCCTCTCTATTACTCAACAAAACTGTTGGAACCAAGATTGCAGGATCTGTAATTCAAGGCATTTGAGCAGCATTGAAAGCCACACGTTTAGGATAACAACCTTGATCTCCAGAAAGCCATGGAAATTAATTGGAACTGAAATTTAGAAAATGTTTTAGGTGAAGTACTTGATATTTGGTGTCAGTTTCTGGGCAAAGGCAAATAAAACATCTGGAATGAATTAAAAGGAAGTCTAAGCTTTCTGACACATGAGCTAATGGATTTTGAAAATACAGTGCAGTCATCTATTATCTGTACATGTTGGTCACCTATTTTTGAGTTATTTGCAATGGTACCTACAGCAAGATTGCATCCCTTTGCCTCTGAACATCTTCCTGTGCTATCTCATGTTGTCCCAAGGTCTCATCCTGTGGGAAATTGAAGTTAATATTTGCCAAAACCAAAACCCACTAAAATATCCAATTATAAAATATATTAAAAAAATTAAGCTCAAATTATTTTGAAATAACCCATAAATTTATTGTATCCCATTGGGGTAGCTATTATATTGTCACTTTCATTATTTAGATACAAAGACTACTTACTTCCCTTTATTATGCCTAACTTATGTCAGGTTCATCCTTTTAGTAGAACTTTCTCAGAGATGGGTTGGAGAAGTGAACTGGAGAGAAAACCATAATATAAATTTTATATTCCTGTTTTCATTTCCGAATATCAAAACAGTATCCCACACTGAACCCTTTGAGAGCTTTTATTTATGGAACAAACTTTGACACTTAGCTAGGCTAAGTATTTCAGTATTTTCTCTTGTACACTCCTATATTTTGTCTGCATACTGACTCCCATAATTAGAAATGCACTGAGCATTTAGTGGAACTAGAAATGTGTGTTTGTGTGTGTACTTTGGGATGGTCTAGGTCAAAGCAAATGTCTTTTCTTCAGATGGCTGGGAGTTGCTTATATAGCTAACTGTACAATTGAAATATTAATACTTTCATCATTTTTTCATGTGGGCATATTTATATCTCTATACATATTATGCATAATACATATAGTTACACAATAATTTCAATATGAAATCACACAGATTTCCCAAACTATGTAGATTATTAAAATTGATCTAATTTCTGTCAATATGTAGGTATAACACGTGTACATTGCATGTTCAATAAATGATGTTTGCGATTGTCTTACATTGACTCCTAGATGATTATTTATGTATTTCAGGGAAATTTTTAAAAATTTAACTCTTATTTTAATATTTTCCTCTTATTTATGTAAGAACCTTTAAAGAATGTACTAGAGTATTTAAGTTATGTGTTTTTAAAATAGAGATATCTTAGCTCTTTATCACTGAAGTTTACTAACAAGTCAAGCACAAAAATTAAGAAGAAAGTGAATCTATTCTAAATGACTGAATCACAGGAATTCAGGAATGTGAATTAATTCACATTAAGGAATGTGCTTAAATATTATCTTTAAAATAAAAATAGCAACATATATCATCAAATAATGGAATGAAATCATCAAATAATAAATGGAAAATAATATAGACTTCAAGAAGTCATTGCAGAAGATGTTAGAATCAAGCAGCATGGATGAAAAAATAAAAAGAGTGTATAGGATGTAGATGAGGGGTGCAGGTAGATGGATGGATGGATGGATGGATTTCTTCCACACTCTACCAGCCTCTTCTCCTGAACCCCACAGAGGTTTACTTGCACTACCCACATTACATTATGCAGGAGGGAATCTTGGATCCAAAAAGAGGTTCCCTAATTTTCAATCCAAAATCCAGACATTTCCCCTTTAATAGAGAAACCACCAGGATTTACTTTTATGCAGCTCCTGGTGACAGCTTTGGTTTCTGTGTGTCCCATTAAGCTTCCGTTTGCTTGGTCAGTGAAGAAATAGTCACACACCTCGTAAGGGAAGTTCGAAGAGCCCACACAATGTATGTAGAGCATGCACTACTTCAGCAGTTAAAATGAATGCAGTGTTCCTCGGCGGGGGAGGGGGGGGCGGGGGGGCATTTTCTTCAGTGTTTGGTGTTGTTTTGTTTCTGCTTGTGCTCTGCTCCTCTCTGCCCTCAAAAAGTTCCTTCTCCCTTTGACCCGATGCTGGTTTTTGTGTGGCAGTGGATGGCAGGTGGACCTCATGGAGCAAGTGGTCAACTTGTGGGACCGAGTGCACGCACTGGCGCAGGAGGGAGTGCACGGCACCAGCCCCCAAGAACGGAGGCAAGGACTGCGACGGTCTCGTCCTGCAATCCAAGAACTGCACGGATGGTCTGTGCATGCAGAGTAAGTCTATTTGAGCAAACGACAGACACTGGGGAGGTCTGGGGTTTAACCATTTGGATTTCTTTAAAGGAAATATCAAAAAATAAAAATTTCTTAAACAAAAATGCAGTACTATACCAATATCATGGGTCTCTGTCAAAATTGAAAAAAATGAATCTCCCAGAACACAGTATGAAAAATAACTGTATCCAGTTAACAAATGACACACACAGTATTGCTTTTCCATGAGCAAAAAGGGATTTAGTTGTTTCCATGGAGGGGCTGTCATTCTTTTCAGGGCAGGGAAGTGCTACTCAGTTTTATTATAGTGCACAAAAGGGCACCCTAAACTCCTCATAGAGTCACATGACTTCCAAAAAGTAAGCTATTTATTTCTAATTCATGGCTGTTACTGAACCAGTGTCCATGAAATTTAAAATATATGTATAAGGACAGGAAATATTTCTGCAAGTAGATTTACCAGTTTACAAGTGTTTAGTGTGAACATCTTCACAACACCTTGAATATGCTGGGTTTGTATTAGAAATTATAACATTTATCTAAAGGGACTAATGTTTATAAAACATAAATTTTTAAAAATGGGTGTAGATGATTGGCTCAAGAATATAATAGGTGCTATAAGCTAAAGATTCCACATTTTTCATGGCCTTTTTCCTTAGATTTTCTTAATGAGATGGTTTGATTTGCATATTTGCAGACTCTCACTCCTCTATTGAGGAGCCCTTAGATGTACAGAATTTACCATCCCTTTTATGACCATGAATTAAGGTACTAAGAATTGTTCTGAAATCACACCTATAACAGACGAATGGATCAAACAGTGTGCTGTCTTTGGATCTTACCTAATGGCAGCCAAATGTTGACATTTCTTATAACACATTACAGATTGCTTGTGGAATATATTTGTATTTGTCATTTAAGAATAAGATATTTTCAGCACATTTATGAAATTCTGTTTACTTTCCAGAGTCTATACACACAGGGACCTTTAAAAAGAAACCTTACTTAAAATACAAATAGGTAATTACATTGCTGACACAGAATAAAAATCCAGTGGGCCTCTTATTTTTCTGTCCACGGTACATGGTATTCTTTGAGAACAGACTGCAGCTGGGTGTAAAGCATAGCTTCTGGTTGTGATTTGGGAACGACTGCTGTGCATCTGAGTTTGTACCAGAAACACAGAATGAAAAGAATACAGCTCTTTTACTAACCATTTATCCAGAGATCCAGGGTTTGTTCCTCTTGGTGTTAGTCTGAGTTGACGATTAAAATGAAAACATACCATACACAAGTTATTTTTTAACATTTTTATAATTTAGTATTCTTGTAGTGCTGAGCAAATTGATTCATGTGATTGAAAGTAGCAATATTTGAAGTTTCTCTCTGTCACTCCCTTTCTCAATATTATACTTTTCAACTTTGGGTGATTTAATGCCTACTGTTTCTATTGTGCATAATTTTAAATTCCTAAAGCAACGTATTTAACAAGGAGTACAATGCTGCAAGATGGAACATTGGGCCTTTTATTACTTACACAAATGACACATTATAAATTATGACATTTGTCAAATACAAGCATGAAATATTCAAGTTAAGACTTTCATGACATAGCATCCCCTTAGCATCTAGCTGATTTCTTACAGCATTAATAGAATTTTTTCTAATGATTGGATATTTACCAATAATGATGGCATGAGGTGTGTGTGTAAGTAAGGAAAGGAAATGAGGCTACAAGAGGTGATATTTGTTTATTTATCAAGTCTCCTATTAGCCTGGAACATTTGGGTGTTTGAATTAATTAGTTAAAAAGCTGTTTCCTTTCATAATTCTGATTTGCTGTAGTAACAGTCTCTACTAGGTCAATAAACTCTTTCATCTGCCCTGCTGTATCTACTCTAGTGCAAAGGAGAACTGTAGTTTGTGCTATTATTGATTTCCTCGGTGATAAAAACCTCAGATACTGTTGCACTGAATAATTATAGTATTTTACAGTGAAAGCTATAGTTTCTGTTTACCAGTAAGCTGGGTGTTTCTGGCATAGTATTGCTGACAAAGTTTTGCAAAGAAATGATAATGTTCTTGGTCCTTATTTTGGAAAACAAAAGGCTTTCTGATAGTGTAAGTACCAAACTTGTAAGAGGGACATGGTCTGCATTAAGAAAAAGAATGGGAGTAGAAAAGAGCTAGAAACTTGCAGTTGACAATTAGGAGTTATCATTTAATGTTTATGTACTTTAGGAAAATTAGTGTCTTCAATGCACTGATAATATTGCAATACTGATAAAGAGCTATTTATCTCAAAGTAAAGCTAGCCTACTTACCATTGGACTAGGGAGGCAGTACAACCTCTGAATCTACTCAAAATTGTCTACAAATGATTTGGATATAAATGTAGATATACTGCTAGGAAGGAGAAATTTGGAGTTCATAATGGTTGTCAGTAGAATTCAGAGTTACAGATAGCACAGAGCAACACAATGTGAAATATATAGAAAATATTGCTTCAGTGTTTATTCACTAATTTGTTCAAAATAATATTCAGACATATTTCTTCCTTAGCCATTTCTCTCATTATAAATACCTTTGACTCAAAATATGTAGAAATATTGGATAAAATGTTTAAACTTAAAAGACATACACACATTTGGAGTGTGTGTGTGTGTGTGTGTGTGTGTGTGTGTGTGTGAGAGAGAGAGAGAGAGAGAGAGAGAGAGAGAGAGAGAGAGAGAGGGCATATCAAGCTCAAAAGAAAGAGAAATCCTCAAGTGGCAGAAATGAAGTAGGAACTCAAATCTAGAGAAGTATACCTCTGTGAGTGGACACCAGAATAACCAAGAGGAGCATTAGACATGGATGTAAGTCCTAGGGATTAGGCTTTAGGATTTCAGTTCTGAGGCTGAGAGTTGAAAGCCAGAACCTTGAATAAAACTGGGTCTCATAAATGGCTGCTCTCACCATGAAAAATAACTAGAAATTTTTTACCCATCAGCCCAGCGAAGCTACAGGAAAATTCACGGTAGAGAAGAGAAAAATGAAGTCTTCACTTAAACCTGTGATAAAACCACACTCCGACACCCAGTTCTGGGTATGGAATCTAAGATACAGTACAGGGAACAAAAAGCAAAGTATGTGCAGTTTCTAAAGTTAGTAAAACTGGGGTACCAGCGGAAGTGAACAGCAAGCCATTTTCTAGAGTTCTTTTCACAACCCAAGTGCATTGGTCTATGATAAAGATAGCCCACTCCTGAAAATGAATTTACAACATAAAGTTTTATATCACCCAAGGGAATAGTCTGCTGTAAGAGAGAGTTGGCAACATAATAAATAGGTGAGTTAGTACTTTAATAACATGGACTCCTACAGCAATCTGAGTGAGGCTATAAAATAAATAAAAATTAAAAGACAGACTATTTTTAAAAGGAATATAAGCACAAATGAAAGAAAAGAATATTATAAAGAGGACAGACAGATTTGGGGAAAAATCAAATGGAATGTGATCCATTGAAAGTTAGAACTCAATGGAAAATTAAACATCAGATCAGATCAGAGACAGCTTTAGATAAAGCTGAAGAGAAAATTGGTAAACTGGAATGTAGATCTCATGAAACTTTTCAGAATACAAGGAGGAAAGATAGAATGAGTGATTATATAAAAGGTAGGTTAAAACACATGGAAGATAGAATGAAAAAGTCCCACTTTTGTTATTCAAGAGAGCAAAATTTAAAGTTTTTGAGATAATCAAGATTAGAGCTTACTACTCACAAACTCTTAATGAATAAACTACTAAAAATATGAAAATTGATTCTTTAAAAAATTGAGGGACCAGTTAAAAATAAAATGGAACTAAACTATAGATGGCATTAACACAGAATATGGGAAGGTGTAATCTAAGTTAAAATGTTCTAATTTTTGTGTGTTGTTCAGGAAAAGAACAGTAATACTACTTGTGTTAAGCTTTACTGATTCAAGTGTCCCAATTAAAATGTTAAGACTGACTACACACATAAAGGTTGAATATATAAATTCAAAATAAGATTTTTAAGGGCAGAAAAGGAGCAAAAAGGAAAGAAAAAGTATAGTTAAATGAAAACAAATAAGATGGTATATATTAGGGATTATCATATATCAAGGATAATAATGTAAATGAATTAAATTTACCTGTTAAAGGAAATTCAAAATTACAGGAAAAATCCAGTTTTACATTGTTTATGAGAGACATACTTAAATCACAATTATAGAGAAATATTGAAAGTTAAGAAATGGAACTTACAGTGTAGTTCTTTATTTTAAAATGTCCAATTAATGGCTTTGACTATCTAATTGGGCCATTCTTAATTCCATTTCCCATTTTGCCTAAGTAACACATATTAGAGATTGGTTTTGCTCATAGTTTTAATTTAGATACTTTTTTTCCCTTAGACTTTATAGTTTTTAGAATGTTTAATTTTTTTTTTTTTTTTTGCGGTACGCGGGCCTCTCACTGCTGTGGCCTCTCCCGCTGCGGAGCACAGGCTCTGGACGCGCAGGCTCAGTGGCCATGGCTCACGGGCCCAGTGGCTCTGCGGCATGTGGGATCTTCCCGGACCGGGGCACGAACCCGCGTCCCCTGCATCGGCAGGCGGACCCTCAACCACTGCGCCACCAGGGAAGCTCCTAGAATATTTAATTTTTTGTTGGATAATTAAAAGTTTTCTAAATTGTTTACCAAATTTTTTGTGTAAGACATCTTAAAAATACAGGTATTTCCTCAATGCCAACTGAAGTTTTTAACCAAAAGACTTCGAGGTTATTTATTTACAAAATTATTCAATATTTTAAAGATATAATAATGCTAAATGTTAGCAAATGTGCACTAAAGTAGAATCTCTTGTATTTTGCAAATGGGAACACAAATTTTTGTGATTATTTGAGGAAGCAGTTTGACAATATGAGTTAAGAGCTTTAAAATTATTCCTCTCCTTTGATCCAAGAATCCTGTATCAGTGAATAAGTTTTAA